TCTCCTTCGTTGAGAGAATCCTGAAGCCCGTCGAGATAGCTGGCTTTAAAGACGCTGTTGAAAATCCCCTCTTTTTCGACTCCCTTCCCCTACCCCCCCCCCCCCCATTCCCTATACCCCCCACCCCCCACCCCCCGTGCCCCAATACCCATACCCCCACCACGCTCCTTTAGATGCTTACCGATGGGGGTGAGAGGAAGGGAGAGGAATGAAGAGAAGAAAGAGGGAGAGAGAGATGGATAGACGGGAGGGTGGGAGGTAGGGGGAGAGGGAGAGAGAGAGAGAGAGAGAGAGAGAGAGAGAGAGAGAGAGAGAGAGAGAGAGAGAGAGAGAGAGAGAGAGAGAGAGAGAGAGAGAATTGATAGAAAAGGAGGGAGGGAAAGAGAGATTGGAAGAGAGAGAGGGGGGAGAGGATAGAGAGAGAGAAACTGAGAGAGAGAGAGAGAGAGAGAGAGAGAGAGAGAGAGAGAGAGAGAGAGAGAGAGAGAGAGAGAGAGAGAGAGAGAAATTGAGAGAGAAAGAGAAAGAGAAACAGAAAATGAAAGAACAAATAAAACCACACACCCAAAAAAGAGAGAGAAAAAAACAAAAACGAACCATAAAACAAAATATACAAACAAACAACCCCTCCATCCCTTTCCCCAACCCCACCCCAAAAAAACAAAAACAAACAAACAAACAAGCAAGCAAGCAAGAAAACACAACCAACACAACTAACGAAAAGGAAGAACGAAAGGAGAACAAAAGACAGAGACGGAGATAAGCCTAATTTTACAACAGTGCCGCTAATTGATAAGGTGTGACGATAGCGAATCTCGGATGCAAATTGTATTAAAAGGACATTCTATCCGGCGAGGGCGGCGCTTTGGCCACTGGGCGGGCGTGGCGGCCTGGGGGAGTGGGTATATGGGGTGGGGGGAGGGGTAGTTGGGGGGTATGAGGGGTAGTGGGTATAAGGGGTGGGGGGTAGGTATAAGGGGTGTGGGGGGGTATAAGGGGTGGGGGGTAGGTATAAGGGGTGTGGGGGGAGTGGGTATAAGGGGTGTGGGGGGTAGTTAGGATAGGTATAAGGAGGCTCTGGGTAGGGGAGGGGGGGTAGTTGGGTATCAGGGAGTTGTGGGGATGAGGGTAGTTGGTGGGTATGAGGGGAGGGTTATTGGGTATCAGGGAGCTAGGTATAAGGAGGCTCTAAGTAGGGGGATAGTGGGTATAAGGGGTGGGGGGTAGGTATAAGGGGTGTGGGGGGAGTGGGTATAAGGGGTGTGGGGGGTAGTTAGGGAGGTATGAGGGGGAGTGGGTATAAGGGTTGGGGGTATGAGGGGTAGTGGGTATCAGGGGTGGATAGGTATAAGGAGGCTGTGGGTAGGGGGGGGTGTAGTTGGGTATCAGGGAGTCGTGGGGATGAGGGTAGTTGGTGGGTATGAGGGGAGGGTTATTGGGTATCAGGGGGCTAGCTATAAGGAGGCTCTGGGTAGGGGTATAGTGGGTATAAGGGGTGGGGGGGTTAGTTGGGGGGTATGAGAGGTAGTGGGTATAAGTGGAGGTTGTATAAGAAGTAGTGGATACAGGGGGGGGGGATGTTGGTATCAGGAAGTAATGGGCAGGAGGGTAGTGGGTATAAGGGAAATGACTTGTGGTATCAGGAGGTTGTGGAGATAAGTGGGCCTTGGGTATAAGAGAGTATTAGGTATAAGGGAATGGATTATTGGGTATCAGGGGCCGGTGGCTATCAGAAGGAACAGTTAGTATAAGTTCATAATAACTACTTAAGGATATCTGGTGGAATCAGGATAGCAAAGCATATCAAAAACAGAAAGTATCAGGGGGGGGGGGTGATAACAAATATCAGGAGAAAGGAGCTAAGTATAAGGGAAATTAATGGTCGACCTATGGATAGTTGACATCCCATGATAGGAGGTATAAGGGAGATTAATGGGTATCAACGAAATATTGGTATCAGTTAATAAGTATTTGGAGGAATATTAGGGGTGAAATGGAGTGTTATAGATGATGACTATTTAAAGAAAATAAAGGATTATGAAGGGGATGTTGAATATTGAAAATTGCAATTGTATGAGGTCGAGAATAAGGCGGAATTGTTGATGGTGATGATGATGATGGAGATGGTGGTGGTGATGATGATGATAGTGGTGATGATGATAATGATGATGGTGGTGGTGGTAATGATGATGGTGATGATGATGATGATGATGATCGCGATGGTGATGATCATGATCATGGTGATGATGGTGATGATGATGATGGTGATGATGATGATAGTGGTGATGATGATGATGATGATGATGATGATGGTGATGATGATGGTGAAGATGATAATAGTGGTGGTGGTGATGATGATGGTGATGATGATGATAGTGGTGGTGATGATGATGGTGGTGATGATGATGATGATGGTGATCGCGATGGTGAGGATGATGATGGTGGTGATGATGATAATGATGGTGATGATGATGATGATGAGGATAGTGGTAGTGATAGC